GTATATTCCAAATGTGCAGAATTTGAAGGACAAGATCATGAAAGCTGAACATCACTGCCGTATTATATGACACGTTAGAACATACAAGACCGTAGGCAGGGTTAGGGCTAATTTCTTCTGACCAAAGATCGATGAGAGCATTACGGACTATGTTTGTAGATGGGATGTCTGTTATCAGAACAGGTCCGTTAGACATAAGGAATTTGGCTTGCTAGAACTTGTCGGAGTACCTTTGAGGCCATGGATGGATAGCTCGGTAGACTTCGTAGTACCACTACCTAAATCAGAAGGGTGTACCAAAATTTGGCTAATCGTGGACACATTCTCAAAGATAGCACATTTTTACCTTTGGCCATACAGGTCCTGATAAAGGATCTGGCCCTGATATTCCTGCAGCAAGTTTGCCGGCTTCATGAGCTCTCAGAATCTATTATCTCCAACGGAGATAGCCAATGCACATCCAAGTTGTGGATGAGTTTAATACAACAGTTAGAACTGAATCTATGATTATCAACCACTTTCCACCCAAAGACTGATGGGCAGACCCAGTGGGTGAACCACACCTTAGAGCAATATTGAAGAAATTATTCTTCGTACCAGCAGGATGATTGGGCTTCTCTACTAGCTTTAGCGGAATACATATACAATATATCCACCTCTAAATCTAATAAGTTATCTCCATTTGAGATCAACAATGGCTTCATCCCACAGACCGACTGGTCAGGTACTGTTTCGGAACAACCAGGTGTTCATCCCAGTAGCAAGCTATGGGTTAAGAATCAGGAGGTTGTCTGGCAGGAAGTCCAAGATACCCTTAAGTGAGCACCAGAGAGAGAACCGAAATAGCATGACCAGAAATGAGTGCCATCAGCGGAATAAGTCACAGTGGAAGATGTAACCCATGGTAGGGCAAAGTAAGCTGACTGTGAGATACTAAATCGAAAAAACATCCATACTAAGCGACCAATGGAGAAGCTGGACCATGGAATGTTTGGACCATTTGTAGACAAGTGCAAGGTAGAACACCGAACTTACAAACTCCTATGGCCTGTCTGCTGGTCTATCCATCCTGTATTCAACCTCGGACTCTTAGAACCCTATCATGACGACCCAAGTGGGACAAGGACTAAGGAAGTCCCAGTCCCCAAGATAGTAGATGATGAGTCCAGCTACATTATTGAGGCGGTGGTCGATAGTGGATGGTATGGCAACAGGAAAGCCAAGTTTCCTAATCACTTTGTACAATACCTGGTTTCATGTGAAGCCTATGGCACAGAGGAAGATGCTTGGAAGCTACATGAGATGCTAGAAGGCACTGGCTTAGAAGCCACGAAAGATTTCCACCATCGGTATCTCCATACACCAAGACACCATAGGGTTGTGGGCGAACTGTACCGGGGAAGTAAAAGAGGACATTAGCTGACCAGGTCAGTCCTCAGAGAAGAGGGGAGTGATGTAATGACTCTCAGCTGTCGAGCTATGGCAACCTAAGTCTATGCCCATACATCAGACCATCAGGTCAGATGGTAGACTAGGCGGGCATGCGGGCGCATGTCTGAGGGATATCTGATGGTCCAGATATCCCAAAGAACAGAAGGTACTTATGGGATAGGTGTATCTAATTAGTGGAAGAAATGTGACTATGTCCACTCCGACCTAAGAATAGGTTGGACAGGCCAGTGAGTTAACCCTATCTAGGAGAGTCATGTTACCCGACCATAGAGACTAGTTTCATGTTACCATTGACATACTTACCACACCATTAGGACACTATTACCCTGCCTTCTGTCGGAAATGTTCACCGAAGAATTTCGGAAAATATTAGAATTGATTGTTATACAATCAGGATCGATGGGCACTTGCTTGCACATTGATCAGAAGGCTACAGGAGGAGCTATAGTGCTCTGAACCAGCTGTAACTTGGCAGAATTATTCCTAACAGGTACCTGCGGCCCCAGGGTTCGCCCCGGGTGTCCTGGGTCAAAATGGCTGAAGTGGCCGTCATACCAGTTAAATTGAGTCTCTGACGACATGTCCATAACACTATAGAGGTAGCTCCTATCCCTCCGCCTGGAGGCTGTTCACAGGATATATATGGGGAACCAGGGTGAGAAGGTCAGGTACCATCTCCAAAAAGAACAGCATAAAACAGATCAAAACTGACGGAGTTAGTGTGAGCCATCTGGCAGGGTCCCCAGAGTCGTCCCTGGCAGTGCCGGGGACATCTGGAAAGGTTTTACGCCAATCAATTCTACACCATCCCCTTTGACCTAGGCTCTTTGTGGGTGGTTTGAGGACTCAAATAGCATGATACCTATCATGGTGAGTGGTGTGCTGGGGGTAAGGGACCATAGGTACTGCCCACTGGCTCTATCGCCATCACAGCTCTCACTGGAAGAGTCTTAGACCTTCTAAGCTCGCAGTCAAGATAGATAGAACTTAACTAGAAGACAGGTGATGTCTATGAGTGCTTGCATAGGTCATAGCACATGGGAAGAGAGTTATTTGGTTAACTTTCCTAGGACGATCAACTGTAAGCCACTGGCGAGGTACCAATTCGCAGGGCTTTTTACTCCCCCAGGTGGATTGGTAAGCACCTCGCACGAACTGATGTATATATAGGTGATTTCTACTATAGTGAGCTGACAGCTTAGGTGCTTCGGGGATACGGTACAGGTGCCAGTGTAACCCTTGAGGAGAAGGGTATACTCGTGTTAGTTAGAGTAATCTAATAGGGAGGTTTTGGTATAACTCTGACTATTCAAAGAGTATACGAGAACTCTCCTACCCCGACACAATCGTCCCCCTCTTGAGAGACAATAATTGGGATAAGCCAAAGCTTAACCATATTAAGCTTTCCTGTTTAATTTTGCTCTTTATACTTTGCAAGAGTTGTGTTCGAGAGATTCCAAGTTTGATGCAGTTGAATCCTTAGGAACTATCAACCTGATGGAGCCCCCGTTATACCAGTACTGGTGCCAGGCTTTTAGGGTAGACCGTTTGATTTGTGTCTTAAATTTGGTCAGTGAGAGATAACTATCTACATCAGGTTGGCAATACTTAGCAGCTTGCTTTGCCAGTTTGTCAGCTTCATCATTTCCTTGAATACCAGTGTGATCAGGTACCCAATGGAGATAACGCTGTAAGTCGAGGTCAGAGGATAAAAGATCTTTTGCAAGTTGTTGAATCTGCTGAGAAATTTGTTGTCTAGGGTGGGGAGAGAGACTGTGGGAGTTGGTGATTCCTGCTTGGTTGTCTGTGAAAACCCGAATGTGCTTGAAAGATAGGCTGGATTTGCTGGCTTCTGTGAGTGCTCTGGCAATACCGACCAATTCCCTATCATACACCTTCATCCCAACTCCTAATCCAGCTCTCCATCTGCCAGCAATCCTACCACCATCCATCATCACCACTTCTGCTCCTACTCCTCTTCTCTGCAATTCACCTCTATCTGTATAGAGTACAAGGTTTTCTCAATTGTCAAGGGAATTGAGGAGAGTGATATGACTTTTGGCTACAGTATGTTTGTCTTCCTGGCTGATAGTGATGTCAAGTTTGGAGGTGGTGTTGGGTAGGTTGGTATCTCAGGGTGGTTGCAGGTATGAGTAACACTGTTCAATACCTAGTCCTATAGGCAGGAATCAACTTAGAGTATTTAATACTCTTAGTAGTTGGGTAGGGAACCCAGCTAGCTCAGAATCAGTGTTCCTCCAATCAACCTGCATCTTACTATATGGCTCCTGCTGTGGATCGTACAAGTATTTTCTGTTGTGTTGTTTGTAGGTAGCTGTCCAAGATATGTCAGTCTCAGAGGTGGAGGAGCATGGTCTTTCTGGTTGAAGGGCGGAGGAGAGGGTGCTAGGGAATGAGCTAGGTGTTCTCTGTCTGATAGGATGGTCTGAAAGCATCTGTAAAACTCTGTAAGTATATCTCTTATACTGTCTGTCAAGTCTCAAAGGAATGGAGAGGGTGGCTGCTTCAATCTCCATTGCAGCACTTGGTGAAGTTCTGAAAGCCCCCAGGATTCTTCTGTTTGCCTCTGCTTGCAACTTCTGTAACTTGTTAGCAAGCCCAATTTGATCCTTCCACCAGACCTCTACTCCATAGTCAGCTATCGGGGTAATGCAGGTGTAGTATAGTTGCTTCATTGCTGGTGCTGAAAGACCCCATTCTGAGTTGGATAATCTAGAAATCATGTTAAGTGCCCTAGTTGCTGCAGCTGTTTTCTGTTGAACATGCTAGTTAAATAAAAGCTTCCTGTTAAGCCAAACTCCTAGCCATCGGAGATGCTGAGAAGGGTAGACAACAGTGCTATGAGGAAGAGTGACAGGGGAGTTCATAGTAAAGTAACTAGTTTTCTTGTGAAAATGCATCAGTTCTGTCTTAGGATCATTAAAAACTATTATATTGTCAGCTGCCAACTCCAGGCCCTTTTGGCTACTACCTCCAATGCCTTGAAGTTAGCCTGCTCAGAGGGGCCTGTGACTAAAGGCAATATCATCAATACAGAAGGAAAATCTTAGCTGTAGAGTCAAAACTCCTAGTAGGAAGTCCTTGAACAAGTTTGTCAATTAGAATAGGGCGAGGATTGGTGAACTGGGAGAGCCTTGAGGAATGCCTGTTTTGACTGGTAGGAGAGGTTATTGTTGTCTATCAAAAGCTAACCACAGTTGCCTGTTGGAAAGGAAGCTATCTGTCCAGGTAAGAACTGGTATAGGAAATCCTAAAGACTGTTGCACCAAGAGTAGTTGTGTTTTACTAACATGGTCAAATGCACCTTTAATATCAACAAAGAGGGCAGAAAGGACTTTACCATTCAACTTGGCCAGCTGAATATCATGTGTTAATACCATTACTGCATCCACTATACTTCTTCCTTTCCTTCCTCCCATTTGCTCTGAGTGAATAAGGTCTTTAGTTTCTGCAATATAAGCTAGTCTGTTGGCCATAATCTTTGCTGAAATCTTTCCTAAGCAGTTTAGCAGAGAGACAGGTCTCTAAGCTTCGGGGGCAGTGTAGTCTGCTTTATTAGGTTTTCTGATTATAGCTCTAGTTGCCTCTCTCCAACATTGTGGATGATAATCTGTCTTCAGTACAGCTTGAAACAACTTAACCAGAGGAGTAGGAATTGCATAATACACTTGCCTCAGACAAAGACAGTGAATGCCATTAGGTCCGGGAGCTTCATGAGGTGCAGATTTGAATATTGCATCTTTTACGTCAGTGTCAGTAATATCATATCAGGGAAAGTACTTATCTATTTCTGTGTCCTTATGGTTGAAAGTTGTTTTGTTTGTAAGTGGATTAGGGAACATGGCTTCCCTGAACATTTGCGCTTACTACCAAAGTTAGTAGCACACTGTTGGTCAAAAGAGAGTGAAGGAGTTTTCAGGGACTTGGTTGGTCTACTATGCTGAACTGCAGTAACGATATCTTGACCCCTAGCAGAGTTGAGGAAACCCTTCCAGCAGCTAGATTTGCTGTCTCTGATTTTTCTAAAGTACCTGTTCCTAGACCTTTTGTAGTCAGTGTAGTCAGTCTGAGGTCTGGAGTGTTTCTATTTCCTGCAGCATTTGGCCATCTCAGTCCTCATACTAGCAAGTTTCTCAGTCCACTACGACTTTGATCTAGAGCAAGGCTTGCTACCTGGAACATGGAGACAGAGAGACTGGTGAATTGAGTCTGTGAGAATGGATGTAGCCTGGTGTAAGGATTCAGCTGTAGCCTCATCAAGGAGAAGAGTAAATGTAGGGGAATACTTAGCTATTAATCCCTGCAGTGTCTTGTGAAAAGATTCCCAATTTGCAACCTTCCAGTTGAATTTGTTGCTCATAGGACCTGGAACTAAGCTGTTAGCATCCAATACTAGGGAGAATCTTGCCACCTTATGGTCACTTCCAGTATGTGCCTCCTGATCCACTGCCTAGTCAACAAGCCTGTCAAAGATATCAGGTTTACCTAGTGTTAAGTCCAAAATTAAAGTCCCATTTCCTTGTCTGTAGTTGTAGGCAGGAGTATCAGGGCAGTTGACTAGATCACACCTGTTAGCCATAAACCAGTCCACTAGAGAGTTACCTCTGATTTGCTGTCGAACTTCAGAATTCCACCAAGGATAATGGACATTGAAGTCACTACAAAGGACTGAGGAGTGTGGTAGCTGAATGTACTCTAAAGTTTTGTCCATAGTATAGACTGCTCTAGAGTCTGGTGTTAGTTTTCTTCTTTGATTATAAATATTCCAAAGGGTAAACTTCTCAGTTCCAGCTAGAATCTAGAGTGGAAGGATATCACTATCAAGGTGTGGAAGAAGGCCAGCTCTATAAGAACAATAGATATCCTGTCTGGATTTGCTAATGTAGGTAGCAGTTCTAGGTTTTTCACCATCACCAGTATCAGGTAGAATAGAATCAAAGAAGGGGTGAGACTAAGAAATCCCATCAGATGCCAGCCAGGGCTCTTGAGTCAAAATAATATCTGCTTTGGCATAAGTATAGTGAAGAAGAGAGGTCAGAACTTGATACGTCTTTGTACAATTGTGCTGAATAATAGAGATTGGCTTGCCTCTCACAAGGAATGAGAGGGGTTGTCAGCAGTAGCTGGTTCAGGTTTCTTGACAATATTCCTGTAAACTTCACACCTTAAGTCAGTAGATTTGTGAGATCCCTCACAGTTAGCACACTTGAGTAGGGTATGTGGACACTCCTTGCTAGCCTGACAGCCTGAGGTAGAGCATTGGTGTGGCCTAGTGGGGTGAGTTCCACCACAGAGTTGACACCTAGCATTCTACCAGCAGACTTTCTGATGATGCCCAAACTTCTGACAGTTTCTGCATTCTGAGGTAGGTCTGGTGTCCATGAACTCTAAAGTTCTTACTGAAGTTCTTGCAATTACTAGGCTGTTTCTCAGTGCATGCTTCAATTCTGTAGCAGTTTTAAATTACAGAACTAGGGAGGAGTGTAACTTTCCTGCTCTAGCCTCTGGTCTAGTTAACCATCTGGGTGGAGCAGTACAATGAATGTCCTGATTGTAGGTGTTGAATTTTCTAATTTGTTTCATATGTATATTCTCCTTGATAATATCGTATATTCCTCTACTTAGTATTATTTCTTGTTCACGGACATTACTACAGCGGAGTATGTATTACGTATATTTCATTAATATTTCATGATAGGATTAGGGCATTATGGCGTGCTTTTGTTATCTGGTGTTCAGGTTTATTTCTTACATTTTATGCATCATCATGCACAGTCATCCGTCATTTGATTTACAATTATGTTCTAATTGTCCGTTCATACCATCTTAGATTTACGCATGTTTTATGGAATTTCCTTGGCAGTTCTTTCGGGTCAAACATGTTCGCACTTATGTTTTTCCTACTTATGTTACGGTCAAACACGTCGACACTTATGTTTTCCCTTATCTTTCCTCTTAGTTACGCGGAGGATGTCCACCTGTATAAATAGGGGTTACCACCCATCTCGCTTAAGAGAATTAAGGACAAGAACTACTACCAATCTACCGTCATACAAAACTCCTCCTCGCGTAGTGCGCCCGCAGTATACTCTTTCTACTGTGTTGTATTATCGTACAAAGTTATTAAGATAGTGCCGTACCGTACACATTTGAACAGGTTATGAGCCCGGTGCTTCTATAACTATACGACTTACACTCACGCGCTTCGGCTCACACAGCAAAGGTTTCACCATCACTGAACCACTTTGCATCGAAACAAAATCATGAAACAAAACATTCGCGTACGAAACAAAATGAAGATTTCCCAGTAAAATATTCTCTATGAAAAGTCTCGGCAAAAGTCTTGGCAAACGAAACTTTCGGCACAGCAAAAAGTCTTGGCACCAACCCCTCTAACATGGGGTTCCACCATCCTTTTCCTCCATCTCCTTCTTTTCCTCCTAGGCTCGCTTGTGCGTCCTCCACATACCCCTTCGCCGCGCTTTTACCTTTTGGAAGTATCTCTCCAAGGACACAGCCACGGGAGATTGGGTTTGGTAGCACTCAGGCTACCTGCTCTCTACAAGGCTTCTATTAGAGCAAAGTGCTGGCGAATTTAGGGGGTGTGTGGTTTGTAACTTTGATCGCATAATATTTACTTAGAATTTTCAAACTCTGGCTGAAGGATCAGCCCACGGGGGCCTCCCTCATCCCCCATTTCCACCACACAATGACCTCTCCGAAGAAGAACTTGAGAAACCTCCACTCCCTCCAGTACCTCCATTTCCTCCGGCCCCTCCTCCTACTGATCTACCTGCATCACTGCCAGGCGCACTGCCTCCACCTCCACTAATGGATCCTCCAGGCCCGGCAAACCCGCCGCCGCCCAATCATTCTACCAACTCCAAGAGAAACTGGGCACCCGCCTATAAACTGAGCTCAATCCCAAAGCTCACGGGCCCAGAAAACTACAGGACGTGGTGTAATATATCAGAATACGTTCTCACTTTATTTAATTATTGGGACATAGTAATAGGAGAAGAAAAATTACCGGAAGCAGGAGCAACCACCCGAACCGATAATGATGAAGATGCTCAAGGTTCTTTCCGCTATCGTTACCAGTGGGCCTCAGCCTACTTCCTTGAAATGATTGATCCAAAATGGCGTATCTTGTTGGCCATACACAAGACACCTCCTGCCATTTGGAAAGCCTTCGAAGATAAATTTGCTCGTGAAAATACCTCCACCTTCTTTAACCAACTCAATACGGTCCTTGATTCCAAGTACGATACATCCGAGCCTATGCCGGACCACATTAACAAGTGCGATACCTTATGGAATCGCATGCAACATCGTTACTCCTCTGCTTCGGAAACCGACTGATACACTCTACCGTTTGTTTTTAAATCTGTATTTGAGTCAACCGCAGCCAAAGCCGCCGTTCTCCTCCGTTCCCTGCCTCAGTCCATGAGCAACATTGTCGACAACCTCCAAACCAAGGAGGACCTTACCTACAATCATATCTACAACAAGCTGTTGGACTTGAAATCCTCGGTTAATTCTGAGGACGATAAGCTGTATAAAAGCGCTGATGTTAAAAGAAAGGGAAAGGCTCGGGATACGATCCGCCGGCAACTGGCCGAAACGAAGGAATGCTCCTGCTGCAAAAAGCACTACCCCTCTGCTTGCAGTGAAGACTACTCCTGGAATGAGTGTAACAAGCTCAAGGCCGACAACGAGAAACAAAAGAAGGACAGAGCCGGACACTCGGCTAAGATCGGCAAGGAAGAAACATCCAAACCGGTCAGTACCACTACCTCCTTACCTCCTACGCAAAAGACCCCTTACCCGAATCAATGGGTTATCGATACAGGCGCAAGCTCACACATGACTTCCAAGCTAGACCTTCTTATAAACTTCGAACCTTCACTAGGCACCAGAAAGTTAGGCGATGATTCAGTAATAGAATCATGCGGCCGTGGAACACTGGAGCTTAAGGCCAAAACATCTGATGGCCGGACAGACTCTGTCTTTCCACAACGGGTTCTTTGGGTTCCTAAGTTGGGTTCTAGCAACCTGTTGTCATGGCGCACTATCATTTCTTTGGGAAAAGGTTTTTCTTTGCGGAGTTCTGGGAAGGATATGTATGTTTTTAGGGAAAATAAAACAGAGGTTCTATGGGGAAAGCGTGACGGACAGGACTATGTTGTGCAAGAGGAAAAGGAAACAGCGAACAAGATGACTTATAAAGAGTAGCATGAAGCCCTTGGACATCTATCGCCGCAATACCTCAAAGCCGACCACTACTCTGACTCTCCCGCTATCCCTACCATTCCAAAAGACTGGTAATGCGAAACCTGCATCACCTTCAAGTCAACTAAGTCAAAACCCAAATCAACTGAGAAACCATGTGAAACTTCTTTCGAATTAATTCACTCCAACCTTAGCGGACGATTTTCGAAACCCTCCTTTGGAAACTCCTGATACTATGTTACCTTCATTGATGACAATACACGCTATGCATGGATATGCACCATAAAAGCGAAGTCCGACACGGTAAACGTGTTCGAACAGTTCATCAAGGAAAGAACAACCCAGGACTGCACCACCATCAAAAGATTCCGTACTGACAACGGAGGCAAGTACATCAATGACAAGAGGCTTACCCTTTTTCATAAGCATGGAATTGTGCATGATAAGCCCCCTCCTTACTCACATGAATCTAATGGTATCGCGGAACAGTACAACCCTACCATTATCACATCGACACGCAATATGTTGA